ACAGGTTTCATACTTCTATGATATAACAATTTTATCAAGTTCATTTAAATATTTGGTAACTTCTGCAGGTACACATGTAGCATCCGTTCAAATAATTCAATTAAAAACAAATAGGTATTCAAGCTTTATAATTCTGTCGTAATTATATTACTGAAGAAAATTTCAATATACAAATTCTATCTTTTGAAAGCGCCACAAGTTGCTGATTGTTTTTAAAACACAAACTACGAATAAACGAATATACACCTAATGCCTCAAACAGATTGACTTTTTTAATACAAATTCCGTCAGAATCTAAAATTGTTAAACTTGTCCCAGAATCGTCGATCACAATTATATTTCCGAAAGTTGTCGAGACTAGATCATACGGTCTGGTACATTTAGTGTATTTCCACATCACTTTCCCATTCTGGTTCAAGTCTATGACTTCATTTTGATAAAGACAAGATAAGATGATATGCCCGTTTAAGTTTTCTGTAATTCTGAATCTATTCAAAGATACATCATCGCTCCACTTATATTGGCCTTCACACTTGAATTCTTTCATTCGTCTTCCATCTTTGGATAAAAAAAGAAGGTTCGGTTGAATTGAGCATGAGTTTCTGATATAGCTAATGCGTGGACAATCTTGCAGATAAAGTAATGAAATCTTTCCACCTTTCGTTGAATGTAGAGCCAAAGAATATTGATTACTTTCTGGCAAGGTATAGAGTATCTTTCGTTCATCTTTTGAGTTTTTCATCTGAACTGAAGCATCTTTTCTTGAAATGAAGAGTAAATCCTTTGATTCTGAAACTGCAATATCTACAACAGACTCTATGTCTGCAATAGTTCTAAACTTTTTCTGTGTTTTCATTTCAAACACACATAACTTATCTCCCATCCAAATCTCATCCTCTGTTGCTGCTAAAGAGCTCTTACTATCAATGTACCTGTGCAGCATATCCAAATAGCTTTTCTGAATTTCAGCTTCCATTGGTATCTTGTTACACTGCATTGATCCCACAATTTGTGTCATATCATTTATCTCCCCTGGATAAAAAGTTCTAACTTCCTGTGGAAAATCTACTCCATGATCACACTGTCTGATGAATTCGGAAATGTCTTCAGCATCGATTCTAATGTCTTCTATATTATCTTTTGATTTTGATTTTTTAATTTCTTTCAATTTCAATCTGCATTTACTTTCAAATAATTTCAACTTTGACCTTTTGTCTGAAATGTTTTGCTTGTTTTTATCCAAATCGTTTTGTAAATCATTTTCTAATTTATTGGTATACTCATTCAATGCCTTCTTCAACATTTCAGCGTGTTTTAATAATTTTTTCTTTTCATTTTCATTCTTTTCTGCATAAAATAGATCTAAATATTTCAAAGCATTGATTTTGTCAGATATCAAAGGCAAAATATCCTCTTCAAACTGAGTCTTTAATTGATTGAGTTCCTCCATCTTTTTCTCATAAAAGTGATCAAGGGTCTGGACCGTATGTTTTCCATGTTGCCCTGACATACATTCTGGACAAACAGATTCCTTACATTCCAGACAATGATTTGTGTAAGATCGATTATGGTTATGACAAGAAATATCAACAAGGTTTGGTCTCCATCTTTCCAAATCTCCCAAACACTTAATTTCATGGTTGCTGGCTTTCCCATCCTCATTTTTACTGTGTATTTTTTCACAGTCATCACACATTGAAAATTCACAAGTTTTACAATACCAATCTGTTATTTTTTCTTTCCTACATTGTGAACAAATTGGGAACTGAGCTTCATGTCCTGAGATAGAAGCCATTGTCCAACTCGAAACTGACAGTTCAAAAATCGCAATGACAACAGCACACTAAATCATAACAATATCAAATGAATTTTATCTCTGATAAAGTATGAGGTTCACATTTCGTTCTTCCTGTTTTATTTATAGTCCATATTCAATTTAATTTTCTGGTAATACTGCTTTTCATTCAGCATATCATAGTTTATAATCTAAAGCCAGTAGGCAGTAAAATTTGATTTTGTTAAAAATTCTATGAGCTAATATATTATAGTAAAATTTTACAGATATGTATGCCAATGAAAAGGCAGATTTCTGACTTCATAAAATATACCTATCAAACAAAGGAAAAACAAGAATATATAACCATAGGACAACATGCCCAGCAATATCACATTTTCGTTTAGTAAAACATGAAATCTGGGTCAAATTCAAATTTGGCATATATTCTAAAAAGGTAATGTCAAAATGAACAAATTTACTAAGTTTCAGTTTGATGTGACCTTAGTTTAATGGTAAACTACCTTAAGGTGGTACATAACAATACAGGGAGATAACTCTTTAAAATTCAGCTGAACGTTTTAATCATGTTCTATTGTTTAGGAAATATTAAGCTTCTCAATGATCAGAATTAGTGTTTGTCAAACTGCTATATATCCAATAAAATTTTTCTGATAAAGTGTGTGGTTCAAGTTTTTTGAAATTTATATATTTTTGTCAAAGGGTCAAAGTATATATTTTGTCAAAATTTTATGAAAATTAAAGGAGCCAAATTAATTTTAGTCAAGGTGTTTGGTACCACCTTAAATCAAAACATTAACCTGTAACAGGATGCACAAATTGAGAATGTTTCCATGGGACACAGATGATGCCCCAGCTTGCATATAACATTATAAATGGAGAGAATGTAGACAGGACATACAAATGTTTAAGTTTACAAACTAAAAATTGCTATAGTTGATTTGCCAATTTTTGTTGTCCGTTCGAAACTGATATTTTGTATTTGAGAAAATATGAAATATCAAGAATGATAAAAGTGATGCCACCCAAATTCTAAGCATTGTGTTTAAGTTTCAAAACATTTGGTTGAGGCAAAGTTAAGTGAGAGAACGGAAACGAAAAATTCACCAATTTTTCCATTTGTAAAGGGGCATAACTCTAGAACGGTAAAAGTGACGCCACCCAAATTCATACTTGATCTGTGTTTTGTGGTAATAAGCATTGTGTATAAGTTTCATAATCATAACATTTAGTTGAGGCAAATGTAAAGTTAGAGAACGAAAAATAATTCTGGAATGTACATAGACAGACGTACTGACGGGCATACAGACAGACAAGGGTAACACTTAATGCCCCCTCCTCTGCGGCGGGGGCATAAAAAATCAACAGACAAACAGATCTGAAAACATAATGCCCCTGCTATTGTAGACAGGACATACAAATGTTTAAGTTTACAGACTGAAAATTGCTATAGTTGATTTGCCAATTTTTGTTGTCCGTTCGAAACTGATATTTTGTATTTCAGAAAATTTGAAAAATAATCTACAGAATTTTCTTAATACATATAATACACAAATGTATATGTAAACACAAACAAAAGACCAAATGTTTGTCATCAATTCTAACATGAATTATTAAAGGCAGAGGTAACAGATAAAACAGATATGGTTTCTTTGTAAAGAACAACAACAACACTTTTTTAACTGACGACAAGAAAAGTTGGAATGAAAAGTAACAATCATGTGTTTTCCCCCTGATTTTAAAAACTTTGAAAGAAATATTTTATACCCATTTTTGCCCCTTAATAATGCATAAATATAAATGCATTATTAGCTCAATATCATGGGTTCATCACATATTTTGTAAAGATATGTAAGTTATTTTGTTGGATGTTTGATAAAAAAGGGAAGTCAATGAGGTTTATCAGTCCTCTAAATTTCTAGGCTTATCACTGGACAAAATAAAATATTATATAATTATCACTGAATATAGATATCTATAAAAGTGTGATCCAATAATCTGATAACTAATGTCAAGTACATTTTTAAATATTGATAATTTACATGTTTGTACTGTCATATTGACCTCCTGGGTTAAATGTTCTCTGATATGCTTTGTATTATACTTAGTACATCCTATTCTAGCTAAGATCAGATTGAATACATGACAACTGGCCTATCTGTCATCAAGCTGTTGTCACTCTTTGATAAATTATCAAACCTTTAGCCTTTTTATTGATAAAAAGTAAAAGTGAAAAAGTTGAAATTTTTCATCACTTAAATGGCTAGCATGCTCGGTATAAAATCGACTTTTTCATGTTTTTTCATGCTGGTCCAAATTTCAAATAAGTTTTTCACTTTTTACATGAACAAATTTTCTACAACATTATAGCCCAAGCAGTACAGAAATTATTTATACTGAGCACAGCAAGAGATGGAAGAACTGAAAAAAGTGCAATCTTTCAGTTAAGTGCCAGTCTTTGTAAGAATCAGGCAATTTTGAAAATTTTTAAAACATGACAAAAAAAAACCCACTGACCTAACCATCTATTTTGAAGTTACCCCCATCCTGAGTTAGAAATGGTAGGTCTTTTGTTTCTGCGTGTCTGGTATTTCGAGAAATCTCTAGATAACATTTGTTTAGAATGATAGCACATTACAAAGTTACATCCCCTTAATTGTTAATTTCTAGTGCATTTCAACAAATTTATATCTTGAAATACCAGAACAGGAAAAGGAAACAAATGTTATATACGTGCACCATTATACATTTTGAACATAAAATAATGTCAACTTGAGTGGGTTTTTGTTTGTCATGTTTTTACCACTGCCTGATTCTTATGCAGATTGGCACTTAAGTGTCAGGGATCTGGTTTGAAAACTGAAGGAGCAGTGGATTAAATACATAAAACTGGTACCATCTTTTTTGTAAATTTCGCTGAAAATGACTAAATTTCCAAATCTGTTAAAATATGAGAAATTCCTCAAACAATTAAATAATAGCAGGTGCACAACTTCAAACATTTTTGCAATTTTTCTGTGAAGCTTTATTAGGGAACTGGGTTGAAACAAAAATTAGGTAGCTATTTTTCCACACCAGCTCACACACCTGAAATCACAATACCTCAAGCTGGTTTTGGTCTTTGTCCAAATAGTCCCAAATTAAAATTATAGGAATTTTACATCAATAGGCTTTAGTTATCCAATCAAAGTATGTATAAAAGTACCTTGACAAAAACAGTTTTACTTCCTGTCTGCATATTCTTGATGTACATCTTTCTACTGGACTAAAATAAGAAGAAAAAGACAGTTACTTTTACAAAACTACCGATCAACTGTGATCATTTCCTGGATTTTATTTTCTCAGCATTAAATATATCTTGTCAAAAGAATGACCTAAGATATCAACTATACTCATGATACAGGGAAAGATGTAAGCCATGTGCAGATTTTGCAGTAATTAATACAAATTAAATGCAGATTTTTGCAAATTTTAATGAATACGAGTACATTATATATTGCATTTATTAAGTAGGAAGTTTGGAAGCGCTTATATTATATATTTAATTTGATTTAAATATATTAACAGTAAAATCAACTAATTAATGTATTGAATTAAGTAAATACAACAAGTGAAACTGCGAGCTACTGCTCACTGATGATACCCCCGCCAAATATTTCGGTAAACAGGAAGTTGTTGAGTGATGAATCAGAAAACGCATCACACAGTATAGATGACTTATATAAACCCTGAAACCAAATTTCAGAAATCCTTGTACTGTAGTTCCGGAGAAAAATGTGACGAAAATTTTCAACTTGGATATCATGTGTAAAATGATACAAGTGTTCGGTAAACAGGAAGTTGTTGAGTGATGAATCTGAAAACGAATCACAAGGTATAGCTGACTTATATAAATCCTGAAACCAAATTTCAGAAATCCTTGTATTGTAGTTCCTGAGAAAAATGTGACAAAAATTTTCAACTTGGCTATCATGTGTAAAATGATACAAGTGTTCAGTAAACAGGAAGTTGTTGAGTGATGAATCTGAAAACACATCACACAATATAACTGACTTATATAAACCCTGAAACCAAATTTCAGAAATCCTTGTATTGTAGTTCCTGAGAACGATGCGACGAAAAATATTCATAGGACAGAAGGACAGAATGACGGATGGATGGACTGACGGACGGATGGACAGACAGAGGTAAAACAGTATACCCCCACTTTTTTAAAGCGGGGGTATAATAACCATAAACTTAAAGTAGAAAATAAGCAATCATATTGATTTAATAATGATAACGGCACATTTTTCATAATGGTACCTATTTTCCATATGATATCGAGTTTTTAATAACAACATATGGCTTATGTTTTAGCCAGTACTATAAATTTACAGTAAAAAAAAACCTTGGTTTATATAATTGTAACATCATCATAAATATCTAAAGAATTAAGTACAAAGAGCAAATATATATTTTTTTTTGGTTGAAATTGTGTTTTTCTGTCTCCTACTTATTTAATCATATAGAGTGGGTGGCGCATATTCGCCTTGGACACATTTTCGCAGTTTTGCTATTTTTTCTGTAAAATTTGTGTGCCTTTACCCAATACTTGTCTAAATAGATGGTAAAGGCTTTTTGTAATGTTACTACAACTGTTGATATTCCTCTTTACCCCATTTTCAAGGTTATTCGCACATATTGAGAAATACGCAGGTGTCTTTAAATGATTTTGGCAATTATGTAAGATTTATATGGCAATCATGCGCAGTCTTAAAGTAAATATTTGTGAGAAAAATCGGATAGGAATGATTTCTCAAGCTAATTCATGTAATTGCAAACATTTGTTTTTATAATATACCAGGATAAGGAGGATTGTCATATCATACATTGCGGTGAAAATGTGTCCCCCATTGTACACGAACAACTTGATTTCCTCTTGAGTTTGCATTCGTTTTTAGAACAATTAACCAATGTTTTGAAGATAATTTCTTTATCAAACATTTTTTTCATATAGTTAAATTTCTGAAACCTTCATAAAAAGTTCCAAATAATCGAATGTAGGTCGGATGTAAGTGGAAATGAACGAATTATGCGGCGAATATGGGTCTCTCACTCTAGGATCAACTGGAGAATGTGGAAGAAATAGATCTCATTAGCACATTATTAATTAGTGAATCGGCATTACATTTAATGGCTAATCTGGACACATCGACACATCTAAATATTGACACATCGACATATTAACACATAGACACACTGACACTGGTCATGATCAATCTGTCGCCATAGCTAGGCTTTGACAAAGAACAATATAATGCCTTGTGCTGTGCCACTTTGGCATGTAGGGTCCTCTGGCACCATGGCAAGTGTAATAGGGAAATTTATCGCTGTAAGGCTGTGTAAAATGGGAATCTACTGGAGTAGGCTGTGTCAAATAGAAATCTAATGCAGTATGCTGTGTCCAATGGTAATCTAGTGTCCAAGGCCAGGGTTAGGATTTAGGGTCACATTTAGGATTAAAGTTAGGATTTAGTGTTAGGATTAGGGTTAGAGATAAGGGTAAGGGTAGGTTTAGGATTCAAGTTTATGATTAGGGTTATGATCAAAAGGTAATAGAACGCCGTAGGCTGTGTCAAACGGCAATCTAGCGCCGTAGGCTGATTCAAAGAGCAATCTAGCCCCGTAGACTGTGTCAAAGTGAAATATATAGATGTGTGAGATCAGTCTTTGTGTCTATGTGTCTATGTGTCTATGTGTCGATGTGTCGATGTGTCTATGTGTCTTATGTGTCGACATGTCGATGTGTAAATGTGTCTGTTGTATTAACAGGCATACATAATATTGGATACAGGTCTCATACATATCCTTGCTGTTGTATGAATATGTAATTGGGTAAGGAACTACTTCTACTATATATAACAGTTGAGCCATCATATAATAGAAGAAAAATAAACTGTTAACACAGAGATATGTCTCGCTTATTTGTTATTTTGATAATGCAAATGTTGAAATTAAAATAGCAATACTTTAACATGTAAGTTATGCAAATATTCAAAGTCAATGAACCATGACTGAAGGTACAGGGCTAAACAATCTCCATGGAAATGAGATGTGCCAATGCTAATGCAACTGCAAACCAAATACCATTGACTTTTCATAAGTCGTTCCCTTTCAACAAACCTAAACACAAACATTAACTTGTAAACTATGTAAAAGTTTCAAAGTCAATGAACCACAATTAGGGGGTGGGGTTATATAATCTCCATGGAAATGAGATATGCCAACGCTCATACAACTGCATACTGAATATCATTGACTTAACATTAGCAGTTCATCTTAAACTGACCTAATCACAAACTAATACATGTAAACTAAGCAAAAGTTTCAAAGTCAATAAACCATGACTGAGGGGTAAGGACCAAATATTCTCCATGGAAACTAGATGTGCTAATGCTTATACAACTGCATACCAATTATCATTGACCTAACTCTAACAGTTCCCCTTAAACTGACCTAATCACAAACTAATACATGAAAACTAAGCAAAAGTTTCAAAGTCAATTGACCATGAATGAGGGGGCGGGGCCAAATAATCTCCATGGAAATGAGATATGCCAATGCTCATACAACTGCATACCAAATATCATTGACCTACCACTAGTGGTTCCCCATAAACCGACCTAATCACAAACTAATACATGTAAACTAAGCAAAGTTTCAAAGTCAATAGACCTTGACTGAGGGGGCGGGGCCAAATAATCTCCATGGTAATGAGATGTGCCAATACTAATACAACTGCATACCAAATATCATTGACCTACCACAAGTGGTTCACCATGAACTAAACCTAATCACAAACTAATACATTGTTGACGCCGCCGTAGCCGACGCCAGAAACAGCATACCTATGTCTCGTTTTTGGACTCCGTCAAGGCGAAACAAAAACTAGTTCTACTGTAGTTTTCACTATCTATAAAGATTGATGGTATGTGTTTAGGACAAAAGAAAAGTTTTGGTGGTATTTACAGTTAGGATTTCATGATAATAAAGATTAGGATTATAAAGCTTCAGTATCAAAGGTGCTTACAGATCCAACAAATTTTATCATTTTTGTACACATGATACAACACTTAGGGAGCAACCATTTAACTTCAAGGGGGGGTTATGGTTTTTTGTCTGAGTCAGAAATTTTTTTTCGCACAAAGCACAAACATTTTTTTGAAAGTTTTTCAACGCTATCAATCAAATTATTTTTTTCAAAATTTAACACTATAAGGTATGGGGAAAATCATGATTTAGAATATCTTTTTTTGTCATCTGCTTGACCACAATATTTTTTTTCCATCAAATTGGGGATCAGAATATTTTTTCAGGAAAAAACCATAAACCCCCTCCACTTTTGAAGTTGGTCGTTCCCTTATTATCTAACTTATCAAACAATCAGAATTTTGAAAAAAATATGAAGTTACTGCGAGCAACCAATTCTAATTCTGTGTTTTCTTATTTGAATTTCTTCTTGAAATGATTTAAATTCTGATAAGCAGGTCACATGGTAGGTCTCTTCTTATATAAAGGTATAAAAAGATGTGCCACTGATATGGCACGTTTTTGGAATGTCCAATATATCCAGGGGCGTAGCTGCCATTAGGCTCTTTAGGCACGTGCCTACACATAATTTTTTCACAAATATTTTTTTTTTATTAAAAAAAATAATAAACAACGTTATCTGTAGATGCACGCCAGTGAAGTCGTTAAAACTCTTTAATTATCGAATGTCATGTGTACACTAGTCTATCATCCTTAGTGAATGGAGTATTGGATAGATATTCCCCCTTATATAAAAACTATAAACTAGAATTTTGGTTCACATCATTTCACTACTATCAACAAATACTTGAATGGACCTCAACTTAGACACATGATTTTTTTTAATTAGTTGTTGTTGGCTTTCAACTAGCTTTCCACATGGTCTTCATTTGACCTACAATAAAACCCTTGCCAAAGTAAGCTGTCCGTTTGGCTGTGCAGGATGTATAAATACGCAGTCAAGTCTGGTCAGAATGGGGACGTTAAATCTAATGCCTTGTGTAGAGAGAATGCCCGTTAAGAAACTTGCAACAACTCTTTGAGGGGTTCGTAGGTGGTCTACTGAAAGGCAAAATTTCTGTTCCTATCCAATAAAGCCTCATTTTCCAATGCATGGCGTTTCCAAATTTCCAGACCTTCATCCTGGGCGACCCCTATTACAGTACCTAGCTAAAAGTTGTATTTATAGTCAATTTGTTTTTGTCCTGAACATGCATGAACTATTTGCCACTGGACATTTAGCAATCAATCAATCAAACAAATAGCTTTCAGTAACTTCGAGTACTCTCAGATCTACGTTTAATGACCATAATTATTCAAGTTCCTAAGCAGGTAGGGATTTTACAGAACAGGATATAAGGAAATATGAATTTCTTGAATTTTGTTCGATAGTATGAACAGATAAGAACTTCTGCATGAGGCATTGACTGTGTGTGTATGTGTTTGTGTAGCCAGGGGATGGTGAAGGTTTCTTTTAAATGTAGGATCGTCAATGTGTACTATAAATTGACGTATATATCAATTATCCTCAATCAAGGCTTCCAAAACGGTCATATATGCCGGACATTTGTATAATGTCCAGTAAAAGTCCGACTGGGCAAAGCATGAAACGGTCATCTACTTTTTAGTTTTCAAGGCTTTAAGAGACCGTCATTTTAACATAATTCGCGATCTTTTTGACCGAACGTTTTGCTTTTAACAGCCACACATTTCCGGTCATAAAAGTGACATGATCATTAAGTACTATCAAAACAACCCCTACTTTAATACCTTCTCATTTTAATCAAGGCTAATTAGTTGTCGAACAGCTGAAATTTACCTGTTCAGGTGACAGGTAAACTATTTTGAACCGGACATTGATCGGTCTATTCAAAGTTATTTTCTTACATTTCAGCGGTTTGCATCTAATTAATTTAGTCAAAAAGATTTAAATTATCAGAAATACGTTTACAAATATGATATGATGAAAAAATTAAAAAGGTGAAAATGAAACATCGTCATAAACACGTTGTTTGTACTAGAGACATGTCTCTGTTTGAACTAGTACATGTGTGCGCATGTGCGCAGGTGTGAAATTTAATAATGCATCCTAATTCTTCAAAAAATGCTTAAATTGTCATTGATACCCATATCTCACGTTTATTTCGATTATTTTCTTGAAGAAATAACGTAGAAGGAGCTACTTCCACTCATTCATGCTTTGCAAACGTACACGGAATTTACGTATCCGTCTCTGGTCCATGTTTTACCATTGTCAAGATAACATCCGGTATAAGATTTAAAAACGAAAGTAAAGTTTTTGACAACGTTATTTCACACAAATAAAGAGTCTAAGGCAAATATAAGTACGCTGATGTAATTTATTGTTGCACACTTCGAATGATGCACTGCCAATTTAACAGTTTACGTCAGAACTTTGAATTTGAATCACAGAAAGTTTAATATCGTTTTTTTTATGCCAAACATTGGGATGGCCAACTCGGCAACTGATTACCATAATTGCCTTTTGTTTAATTAGTCTTAAGGGATTAAAATCGGGATAATATATAAAATGCCCGGCTGGCTAAAAATAATGTTGGAAGCCCTGTCCTCAATCAGAAAGGAATAGATATGAAAATACTAAACAGGTTGTGCTGCTTAATAAAGGGCTACGCTGATCCACGCTGGGCAATGCGTATATTGTAAATATCTTTTTTTATATATTTCCGATTGTACTGCCGGTTAACTCATCAGTCAAATGTAATTGTTAAATTATGTATATTATAATTTCTTCGTTTTTTTTTCATGTATATTATCATGATAAAATGACCAGTTTTCATGTTTTTTTTGTACACAAAATTTTGCAACTAAAATGCTGAAAACCGTTTTCCGTAGGGGGCTTTGCCCCGAATCTGGGTCTGTTCGCCCAAAAAACATGTTCGCGCCCATTCACGTTCGCCCTCTTTCACTTTCGCACCCTACACATTCGCCCCCAAAGTCTGTTTGCACCCTACACGTTCGCACCCCCTGAACCCCCTAACAGGGCCCTGCCCTGGACCTGCTGGGGGCCTTGATCGGCCCCCACACTCCCTGCCGCAATTTGTGCCTACTGTTAATTGGATACCTAGCTACGCCCCTGATATCAATGGGGTGCTATTTGACGCTGCAATGCCAATGGGTCATAAATGTTCATCTACTGTTATAAAGTCAGTACAAACAATGTTCTGATCATTTTATCTATTTATATGAATGATCCCATATGGTTAACATGTAAATACGATGTCATAACAGCTGGGAAATATATATAAATGGGTTGTGATTTTTTATGAAATATATGAATGGGTAGGGATTTTAGCGAGAATTAATATATGTTTTTTAAAACCCAGCCTGACATCTGTACCCAAATTTGTATGTTTAGACCCCCCTTCCCCTCCCATCAGGTAAGGTTAATGGAGAATTTTTAATTAACTTACCATTTTACCTGCCTGTACAACACCTATATTAGCTGCCATTCTCTGACATTCCACGTTACCATCATACTCTGCCTTGTCCATACTTATATGAGCTGTAAAAAATAAAGCAGTACATGTTTCTAAATGTAACAGTAATAATTACAGGTTATTGATGTTGCTGGATTGCTATCTTTCGACTTAAGAACCAAATGCCTTTTGTTTCACACCAGTAAAATTTACTTAATGCCCTACTAAAAGTAAATCTTGGATCAATTAACAGTGTGTATAGATTGTCGGGTTTTCTTAACATAAATAATGTAAAATTTCAACGAATGTCATAAATAAACCTTTTCAGAGATAAAATAAAATGCTCCGCAGGGCGCAGCTTGATACGACCGCAGAGGTCGAACCCTGAACAGTTGTGGCAAGTATGGACACAACATTCAAGCTTGATACAGCTTTGCATTTGGCTTGTGATTAAATATTTGACACAGCATAGGTTTCTGACACAGAATGAATGTGGTCTAAGAACTTAAAAATTTTAAATTGGACATTCACCTATTATGGTCCAATATCCATTCAATTTTTGATGAAATCAAAAAAAGTTTAATTTTGGACCCTTTTGACCTCAATGTGGACAAAGTTGATAACGGGGCCCAAAAATCAAAAATCTAAATACATGGTTAGATTCAGCATATCAAAGAACCCCATATATTCAATTTTTGTTGAAATCAAACAAAGTTTAATTTTGGACCCTGATTTGGACCAACTTGAAAACTGGGCCCATAATCAAAAATCCAAATACATGTTTAGATTCAGCATATCAAAGAACCCTAAGAATTCAATTTTTGTTAAAATCAAACTAAGTTTAATTTTGGACCCTTTGGACCTTAATGTAGACCAATTTGAAAACAGAACCAAAAATTAAGAATCTAAATACACAGTTAGATTCGGCATATCAAAGAACCCCAATAATTCAATTTTTGATGAAATCAAACAAAGTTTAATTTTGGACCCTTTGGACCTCAATGTGGACCAATTTAAAAACGGGGCCCAAAATCCAAAAACTAAATACACGGTTAGATTCAGCATATTAAAGAACCCCAAGAATTCAAGAAGAAAAACCCCATTGAAATTGGTCAAGAAATAAGCAATTTATATGAATTTTCTTCTTTTGCACAATACTGTGCAATTAAATATTTCTTGCTATTGCACAATACTGTACACTTGACAATTTCTTGCTATTGCGCAATACTGTGCTATTGGATATTTCTTGCTATTGCGCAATACTGTGCAATTGAAGATTACTTGCTATTGCGCAATACTGTGCAATTGAAGATTTCTTGCTATTGTGCAATACTGTGCAATTGAAAATTTCTTGCTATTGCACAATACTTATTATATAATAATTTACACATCCTGTTTGGTGTGTATCTCCTACCATATCATTATTATTTGCTTTTAAATATAAATCAGAAATAACCAACTTAAAATGGAAAATTTTAAAAGAAAAAAAAAAGGAAAAAAAAAAAGGAAAAAAAAAAAATCCCCCCCCCCAAATTTTTTGAACCACCTTATGATTCATCACCCCCAAATTAATCCCAGCCTTCCCTTTGTGGTATGGTACCTTGCAGTACAATTTCAGAGAGATCTATACACTTGAACGTGAGTTATTGTCTGGAAACTAGAAAAATGTGTTTTTTGGCCCCAAATTCCTAAACATTTAGGGCAATGACCCCAAAACTCAAACCCAGCTTTCCCTTTGTGATATGGAACCTTGTAGTACAATTTCAGAAAGATCCATACACTTACACACAAGTAATTGTCCTGAAACTAGAAACATGCTTGTTTTTTGCCCCTTTTTGGCCCCTAATTCCTAAAATATTGAGGTAATTACTCCCATCATCAATCCCAGCCTTCCCTTTGTGGTATGGTACCTTGCAGTACAATTTCAGAGAGATCCATACACTTGAACACAAGTTATTGTCTGGAAACTAAAAAAATGCTTATTTTTGGCCCCTTTTTGGCCCCCAATTCCTAAATGTTTCAGCAATTACCCCCAAACTCAATTCCAGCTTTCCCTTTGTGATATGGAACCTTGTAGTACAATTTCAGAAAGATCCATACACTTACACACAAGTTATTGTCATGAAACTAGAAAAATGCTTGTTTTTTGCCCCTTTTTTGGCCCCTAATTCCTAAAATTTTGAGGCAATATCCCCCAAAATCAATCCCAGCATTCCTTTTGTGATATGGAACCTTGTGGTACAATGTCAGAGAGATCCATACACTAACACACAAGTTATGTCTGGAAGTTACAAAAATGCTTATTTTTGGCCCCTTTATTGCCCCTAATTCCTTTACTGTTGGTACCATAACCCCCAAAATCAATCCCAACCTTCCCTTTGTGGTATTGAACCTTGTGGTAAAATTTCATAGAGATCCATTCACTTAAACTAAAGTTAGAGTGCGAAAACCAATGTGTCTTCGGACGATGCCGGACGACGACGACAACGACGACGACGACGCCAACGTCATACCAATATACGACCACAAAAATTTTTTAGCGGTCGTATAAAAAAAAGTAGTTAATTGGAAAAACCATGTGCCATCTCTGCAAAATTTTACAAAAAGTTAAACAATCCATAACTTCGTGAGAGATTTATGCAAAAAATTCGTAAGGGTTCCGCGGAACCCAGTGTCTCGCCTACTTTTGCTGTTAATCACAGGCTCAACAAAAATGAGGAAAAAAATAAATAAAAATATTCCTCTCTATACTATCTTTTGATTGTTAGTAGCTTCTGTCCAAGTTTGGTAAAAATCCAGGACAGTTTATGAATCTAATAAATGTTTTAAAAACTTAAACTGCAGACTGTATGTAATGTTAACTGGAAGAAAAACAAAGTCCATTCATAAGTAAAATACGGAAAAAATCAAACAAAATTTTAACAAATTTTCCTTCTAGATACTAGCTTTTAATCATAAACAAGCTTCTGTCCAAGTTTGGTACAAATCCAGGATAGTTTAAGAAAGTTGTTAAAATTTTAAAAACTTTAACCACTGAGTGAATGTAATGTTAACTGGCAGAAAAACTAAGTCCATTTATAAGTAAAATACGGAAAAAATGGATTTTTTTTTTTACAAAATTTACTTCTGGATACTATCTTATGATCATAAACAAGCTTCTTTCCATGTTTGGTAGAAATCCAGGATAGTTTAAGAAAGTTATTAAAATTTCAAAAACTTCAACCACAGAGAGAATGTAATGTTTCTTGGCAGAAAAACTAAGTCCATTTATAAGTAAAATACGGAAAAAATGGATTTTTTTTTTTACAAAATTTACCTCTGGATACTATCTTATGATCATAAACAAGCTTCTTTCCAAGTTTGGTAGAAATCCAGGTTAGTTTAAGAAAGTTATTAAAATTTCAAAAACTTTAACCACAGAGTGAATGTAATGTTTCTTGGCAGAAAAACTAAGTCCATTTATAAGTAAAATACGGAAAAAATGGAATTTTTTTTTTACAAAATTTACTTTTGAATATTATCTTATGATCATAAACAAGCTTCTGTCAAAGTTTGGTAGAAATCCAGGATAGTTTAAGAAAGTTATTAAAATTTCAAAAACTTTAACCACAGAGTGAATATTTGTGGATGCCGCCGACGACGACGACGACGACGCCGACGGAATGTAGGATCGCTATGTCTCGCTTTTTCGACAAAAGTCGAAGGCTCGACAATAAAAATCATAATAATTACTACACCTTTAGTATATGTAAAAAAGAATATTTAGCAAAATATAGATTCTAGTATGAAAATACTAACAGAATGAGAGAGATCTATGTATGTCAAATAATATCCCAAGAATTTCTTAATTGCTACAAGATCTAATTTGGTGGAAAAATCTTAGGCAAACTTGCATAAATCTGCCCAAGAAATAAAAAATATATGCTCACATAAATATTTGGGAAATCCATTTTAATGGCAATGAATTGACATGTAAATTACTCTTTACAAATTTGCTAACTATACATGTACCTGTTTGTTCAGTTGACGTATTCTGGCTCTGGTCTTTTAAACCAAAAGTTAACCTGCAAATGATTAAAATTCATGCAAATAAAGTAAAACTATCAAAATTTAGGAACTTCAAGATGGGACAAAATCTAAAAATCAACTGCTGTTGAATATAAGCAGTTCTTTTACAAATATAGTATAAATGAACAAGTGAAACTGTGAGCTACTGCTCACTGATGATACCCCCGCCCAAATATTTTGGTAAACAGGAAGTTGTTGAGTGATGAATCTGAAAACGCATCACACAGTATAGCTGACTCATATTAACCAATAAACCAAATTTCAGAAATCCTTGTAATGTAGTTCCTGAGATAAATGTGACGAAAATTTTCAACTACTTGGATGTCATGTGTAAAATGATGTAAGTGTTTGGTAAACAGGAAGTTGTTGAGTGATGAATCTGAAAACGCATCACCCGGTATAGCTGACTCATATAAACCCTGAAACCAAATTTCGGAAATCCTTGTAATGTAGTTCCTGAGAAAAATGCAACGAAAAATATTCATTGGAGGGATGGACTGACGGATGGGCTGACAGATGGATGGATGGACAGACAGAGGTAAAACAGTATACCACCACTTTTTTAAAGCGGGGGTATAAAAAGATTGATTTCTGATGCTTTAAACCGCCTCAGCACAAAAAAAGCTATAACACAGCAAATGAAAAGAAGTGTTTTCACCAAACTTCATGAGTTATTACCAGCTGTAATGTTGACTATCTTAAAAAAATATGTATGATTTTATTGTTTTGGTCACACCCTCATTGATATACCCTACATCTAAATTGATTCAGTTGAGTATAAAAAGTAAAACTGAAGAAAAACTGTACAACGTGTAATCATCAAGACATGCATTGTTGTTTTTTAACAATTCTGAGTATTTTTTTTTAAGGCTAACACATAACCTGACAATTCTAAAATAGCCCTATGCAATAACAATTGTGAACCATGATGAACTGAATGCATGGGTACCAGTTTTAAATTCAAAACAGAATTTTATTGTAATATTTTAAAATTTTTTAACTTAAATCCCAATGACATTCAGCATTAATTTTCTAATATAGTATACATGAGAAATCTAACCTGACATCCATAATATCTAATGATTCCTTATTTTCTACATCTATCACTAGTTGGTAGAACTCATTCAGTAGACAAGGTGGCTCATGGTGTAATGTAAAATTTACATTTGCTGGTCTATGGGTCACTCTACAAATTAAAACAAGTCATTACATGAACAGTTAATTCCAATTGGTAAATAAACAGTGAAATTCTTGAATATTTATTATTAAACTTATATTATTCAAAAATAAGGCTTTTTATCTAATATACATTGTATTGCAAACATAAATTAATTGACTGAGTGAAGTCCAGCACCAAATATGTAAATGAGATACACATATGGATTGTAACACTCCGTTGAGTGTTATAAAATATTTTTCTACTCAAGACAGTTATATTTAAAATCAAACTGTCAAGAGTGGAGAAATATTGAAAGAACTGAGGTCAATCAAATCACATATTGATTAAAAATAAATAATCAACAGGTTAGGAAAAGTACAAATAGAGTAAGAATTAGAGAAAAATATTTACCATGATATGCCCTACATAATATTAAGTCATATTTGTAATATGCTATTTCAAAATGTAACAGTCCACAGAAAGACAACTCATATTTTCCAAAGATATTATTATGGCACCTAGGCAACCAGTTTGACACAGAAGAATTACACCCAAATCAAACCTGTTTAAAATTGATTTTAGATGAACACAGTCTGCTCAGAGAAAAATTTAATATTCTCTTTTTAAAATTTAGCACTCTTCTTTTGCAAGCAACCATTATCTTCTATTTCTACACTACACAGCACTGTCTAAGAATGAGTTTATCCTTTGTGCTAAGCCTTACTTACTTAATGGCAGATTTAACATCAATATTGTCCCACTCCAATGGACCCTCTCTGTTGATATGTTTTGGTAAGATAGACAAGACTGTCTGTAAGCCTTACTTACTTGATGGCAGATTTAACATCAATATTGTCCCACTCCAATGGACCCTCTCTGTTGATATGTTTTGGTAAGATAGACAAGGCTGTCTGTAAGGGTGTAACAGCATCACCACCCCCACCAATCCACTTCAACTTTCCTAAACTTCCTGTTTCTAAACCAAACTCTAAAACAACTGCTGTTATCTAAAAAAAGAAAAATTACATCCTAGTTCTTTAAAAATGAAACTTATAAAAACATTTAAAATAAGATTATCTGATAAGGACACAAGTCAAGTTAGAGAAGGTTAATTCAAAATTAATATTTATCCAAGTTCTAAAATTAATAAAAGAGTACTATGGGTTCATTTATATTGAAATATTCGTGGGGTACACAATTTTGTTATTTCCTGGATCTATATATCCTGGGAGCTACGAATTAAAGAGTTGAACAAAATAGTATAAGCTTGTATGCTGACTTTTGCAGAACCAAGAAATCAAATATGCAAGGAAATACAATTTATTCTCAATCAATGAAAATTGGTACCCACAAAAATAGATGAATCCACAGTATGTCATAGAAAAAGTTTTAATTCTAAGTATGAATTTTTGGAACATAGCAAGCAATTTATTCTTAAATAATAGAGTCTGAGATAAGAAAAGTCAACTGTATTTGCAACTTGTATATAAAACATTAATTACCTCTAGCTGAGTATCAACATCATCTTTCACAGGTAGAAAACTAAATTTGTAAGATTTGGGTTTTCCTGGAACTAAATATAGATCAGCCTCTGTGCCCTCTGACTCTGAAGCAGCTGATACACCATGGCCATCAACAACAATACAGTACTGGTTGTAAATCTGTAAATAATAGTTCATTGATTGTTGTTTGAGCAATGTCCAGTGTCAATATTCCACAATAACTGTAAACCTACTAATTTTCATAAGCGATTTTTAGGGAATAGAAAATAAAACAAATATAAATAGTTACCGTTATGTAATACTTGTATCTTCCATAACAAAATTTATTAAGGAAAAAGAAGAATGTGTTTGTGAAATGTCCCTGCTCAAGCTTTGCAATTTTCCAAGTTAAAAAGGGGCATAACTCTATCATAATAAATGACTGCCCATATTCATACTCTGTCTGCCTGTTGTAGTTTTAAACATTGTGTATGAGTTTCATAATATTTGGGTGATGCAAACTTAAAATAGAGTGCGAAAATGAAAATTGGACGGATGGATGGAAAGACGGACAGTCAAAGGTATAACTTAATGCCCATGTTGCCTACTGCGGGGGAATAAAAATGGTGAAAAATGAAATTGTCACCAAGTCTGATAGAAAGTGCTAAAGGTGAAATAAAGTATCCATGAAAAGACAAAATATCCTTGTCAATGAATTAAATGAATACACAATACAGAACTCCTTATTTATCATAATACCTAAATTAACTTTATCTATAATATGACAATCATACATTTTCTTACCTGGTTACTGAAGAAAACTGACAACTTTGAAAATCTTACTGGAAATTGACAGTTTGCTCTGAAAGTACAAATTGGGCCTCTTTTAGGAATAAAAATAGAATTGTGTCTTTAAAAGTATTACAATTTTACAATCCTAATATTCAGTATAACAAATTACTGACATTTTCAAGCCAGAAATGAAAACCGATCTATGTATTTCCTTCATATTTTGTTCCTTTCTTTCAATTTATACCATTCATGAAATTTATATGTCGATTTAATCCATTGAAAAGAAATTTTGTTGGTTTTTTTAAGGTCTGATCACAGCTTTCAGTGCAGTTATGATATTTGATTTAGGAAAATTTCAACTCGTTGCAAAATTGAGCTTTTGTTTGTCATTTCATTGTGATTTGTGACTTTAAGAAAAGTGTCAATTTTAGCATCCATAATAATTATCCTAGATACCTGAGGAAGACATCCAATTCTATTTCTTTATCTGCAGACACACTATCAACAGTAAATCTGGCTTTACACTCAACTGCAATATAAAAAAGCAATTGTTATGAATAGATAACAAGGAATGTTGTTTTACAAAAGTTTATTTCTCATTACTGATGATATATAGTAGATACAAATGTTCTGAAAAATTATCTTTACCACAAAAAGATTTAAATAATCATAAAATTAAAATTATTTTTTTATTTTGTGTACATGTGGTTAAGTTGGTTGCTTGTCTAAAACATTTGAAAGAAAGAAAAAATTTGAAACCAGGCAGTCTCAAAATGATTGTCGTCAACATTAGTTTGTTCCATGCCAATAGACTTCTGAGCAGGGTGAGACAGATGATTTTAAAAACCAGCTTTTCTTTAATGAGTATCATTTGATTGTTGAGATAAAACTGCATTTAATAATTATTTATTTAATAAAAACATTTCCTTTATCTAATTCCCATAGTCTAAGAGTAATTATACTTTTTTTTAAATACTATCAATCAGTAATTATGTCTTTATTTAAATTTATAATTATTATATTTAATTAAAAATGTGAGATTTATTAATGCAATTTCAGGAAAATTCATACAAATAATGTAAATTTTGATCTAATCAATACTAATCTAGTCCATTTTTTTGCCCCAAAAAAACTCAAAACAAAAAAAAAGTTTCTGAATTAACAATGTTATGATATGTATTATCTCTCATAATCAATGCATTTGTGACTTGATAATAGCACTAATTACAATTTTTTAGTAATGTATTGTAATGATTTATACCAAAAGGAACAATATTCTGCATTTCTATGGTGAAGGTACATGGTGTATCCATTGTAGTCTGCCATAATCTCCTAGCTGCTTCTGATCCCTGGGGGTCAAGGCCTGGCTCTGGTTCAGGCTGGTCATTCTGAAAATATAGGTAAATGGAATAATTACAAGCAACAAATTTGTGCATAAGACTGAGGTCAAAGACGTGTTTTGCATTGTTTTGCTTATGCTTGTAAGTAGTTTTTTTTATCTGTGATAAAATAACCAATACAAGCAAAAAAACAACAAAAGAACACACAAAAAAAACCAAAAAATAAGAATGTATCCATAGTACACGGATGCCCCACTCGCACTAAATTAGAAAGATCATATCATAGGGAACATGTGTACTAAGTTTCAAGTTGATTGAACTTCAACTTCATCAAAAACTACCTTGAACAAAAACTTTAACCTCAAGCGGGACAGACAGACAAACGAACAAACAAACAGACGCACAGACTGAAAAACATAATGCCCCTAGGTGGGGCATAAAAAACAGACATGGTCTAACGTATTGTCAGGACAACTGCCAACTACATATATAATTTCACTAAAAAATTTGCAAACACTTTTTTCACACCTGTAGTCTTTTATGCAGTATGTTGATAGTAACAAGAGGCTCTCAAGAGCCTGAATCGCTCACCGGTAATTTTGTGCTTAAATCTTTCATCAATGATTATTTTTTTTCAATATATATTAATGAGTGGCTTAAAAATGCCATTTAAATGTTCTTTGTATCTGTCATATTTTCTTCAAAAGCAAAAAAATGCATTTTACCCCTATGTTCCGTTTTAGCCATAGTGGCTATGTTTCTTGACGTACACTTAGGAAATAAAACACATAATTTATACTAGATACTCTGAAACTCATTCAGCCAAAGTTTGGCTGAAATGGATTCAGCAGTTTCAAAGGAGAAGAATTTTTAAAGTAAGCAAACTAGATGAACAAAGTGGGGAAAATTGTCTTTAAAGGACAAAAACTCCTTAAGGGGTCAATTGACAATTTTGGTCATATAAAAACTTATTTGTAGATCTTACTTTGCTGAACATTTTTGCTGTTTACAGTTTATCTTTATCTATAATAATGTTCAAGATAATAACCGAAAACTGCAAAATTTCCTTAAAATCATCAATTCAGGGGCAATAACCTAAAAATCAGATACCCGATATGGCTGATAATTTCAAGGCAGGTAGACCTTGACCTAATGAATACTTTAACTTCTTGTCTGATTTGCTCTAAATGCTTTAGTTTTTGAGATATGTCAAAAACTGCATTTTACCCTATGTTCTCTTTATAGCCATGGCGGCCATGTTTTCTGAGGAAACAGAAAATAGAACAAAAACTTTATTCTAGATAACCTAAGAATCATTCAGCCTAAGTTTAGTTTAATTTGGTTCAATAGTTTCAGAGGAGAAGATTTTTTAAAGTTAGAAAACATGATAAACAAATTGTGTAAAATTGTCCTTAAAGGGCAATAACTCCTTAAGAGGTCAATTGACAATTTTGGTCATAAAAACTTATTTGTAGATCTTACTTTGCCGATCATTTTTGTTGTTTACAATTTATCTATAATAATATTCAAGCCTGATAGAACTTGACCTAATGAACATTTTTACCCCATGTCAGATTTGCTCTAAATGCTTTAGTTTTTGAGATATAAGCCAAAAACTGCATTTTACCCCTATGTTCTATTTTTAGCCATGACAGCCATGTTTTTTGACGAAACAGAAAATAAAACACAGACTTTATTCTAGATACCCTAAGGATCATTCAGCTTAAGTTTGGTTGGAATTGGTTCAGTAGTTTCAGAGGAGAAGATGTTTGAAATAGTTTACACCGGACTAACGACGACGGACGACGACAGACGACAGACGCCAAGTGATGGCAAAGCTCACATTTCCTTGGAAAGGTGAGTTAATAAAACATTAACCTTTATTCATGATGCATACCCTAACCTTTATTTAATTTTACAAATATGATGATAATGACTAATGCCAGTATAAAGATCTGTTTTTATAATAGTGCAGTGGATTTCCTGGATTGAAGAAGGATTTATTTGTGTGGATACTTGACATATTCAGCTTTGGAGCCTATAATAAATTGGTATTATGTTGACACACTTTTATACCAAAGAAATCCACAAAAAATAATAACAGTATTCTGTGTCAGGAAATGACAGAAAGATACTCAGACACTTACTTCTGACACAGAGTCAACAACACTTTGTTTTTAATCATAAAAGCCACATGCTTGGCAGAAAACCAGCAAACATCAATTTTAAATCTTTGTTTAGAAACAGCTAGCTTGCAGATGGTACTGCTAGATGTCTTTTTCAACAGTTTTTTTCCATTCGTTTGAAGAGTTTAAGCTTTTGGTTTTGCCATTTGCTAAAAGACTTCCCGTTTTGAATTTTCCTTGGAGTTTGGTATTTCTTTTTTTTTACTTTTGACTATAAGTGTCCTGTGTAGCTGTCTCATGGACACACACCTCTTTATATCCCTTTCTGAACAATTTCTGTTTATTATCATTGTTTCTTTTATTCCTATCTTCCACTGTAAATATTTATCCTACTCTTATTTCTTAAGGTAGGTGAACACCAAAGGTCTGTGAAGTTTATTCCAGAAACACGTGTAACTAACAAATTGCATACTAACCTATAGAAAATACATCTTAAAGTTGAAAACTAAAGTATCAAGATTGCAAAAGACTTTCAAAAAATTATAAAGTTAACTTGCATATTGTAATGCAATTAATAAGATTGGTGGATAAAAATAAAAATCTTTATATATTACCAAATGATTTTACCTCTAGTATCATATACATTTGAGTTATAATCAAAAAATAATTTCTGTTGGCAATGTCAAGGGAGATAACTCTACTCATGTTGTTTGATCAGCAGTGATGTTGGAAACAAGGGTGTTTCAGATTATAATTTTACTTACAGACATAACTTTGATCAGATTCATCTGGATTCTTGTCTTTTCTTCTACACTACATTTAGAATCTTGTAAATAGTTAAGGTGTGTGTCATATAAAATAGAATAAATTATAAAATAAAATTTAAATCTCAACCACTCAAAATGTAAAAATTTCAGAAGTCAATATTATTCTTAAAAGTTTTCTTGTAAAGATAAAACAATCAACTAACTATTTATTTTAAGTGCCTCATCAAATTTGAAGAAAAGCATGGAGGGTTTCAAATATTATCTTGCAACCTTTCACCTTTTCAAGAGTAACCAATGCTATTCAAATTAGGTTAAACCACTTTTTCTCTATGGAAAAAGCTTCTACACATTTTTGGCTGTTTCTTTCACAATCTAAGCCATTTCTTTTTTAAGGAAAAGGGATACATGCTCCTATCAATTCCATGCAGTTGGAAACATAATCTTGCACTTTTGCTGTGAGGTATGCACATTTTAAGGAAATGTCCAGTATTGAGGTCAACAACAGCCACCATCTTTCTGCTCTATAATCCCACATAACTTTGTTCAACAACCTGAAAAATATCACAGTCAACATTTGAAAAAAATAATAAAATGTTTATTTGAATATTTGCTATTGATATAACGTAGCTGTAAAAATACTGAAAATTATGAAAACAAAAGCAATATACTTTTTGATGCATAAAATTTGAATGAGTTCAAATCATTTAAAGTTGAATTCTAACATGACGTTCTTCAAACGCTTTGAGTACACACCCGTGGTAAAATATGAATATGTTGTTTGGGCTCTTCCGATCATACTCCCATGTCATATGCTTTTTTAAGAATGAGCTACCCGACGTCATAGAACAATGACGTAGGAATATAAACATTTTACGGGAAAATACACGCTTGTGAAACCGAAAATCATCACAATAAGGAAACATAAACAAACGATGCTAAAATGTGTTATATAAGCCATTTTTTGTATACATATAAGACATATAAGTACAATTATCATTTAGATATCGCTCAGGGTAAAATATTTGTCATAAAGGGCCAACCCATGGTAAAATCATGATATATTCAAGCCCCCATGAATTATTTCTTAATTTTTATTCTACCAGTGTTTATCTTCCTTATACGTCTTTATATGGGCTCATATTTAACCCAATAGCTATTTGATCAAATATGTTAATTATGATATTCTTAAGTCATCAAAAGATGAATTTTAAATGAGACCAGACTATGTCTTCCTATTCATCCATCAACAAAGCAACATAATTATTGAAAGAATAGAAGATGTTTCCTTTTTTTACCATTTCTAAGATTTCTTAGTATACCTCAGCCAAAGAGGCATATAATTTTAATGAAATTCACTTGGCTATCTATTAAGCATTAAAGATGCAATATGCCTACCATTATTTATATGAATATGGCAAAATACTTTTAATTGTTATGGGAAACTCCAAAAGTAAAACGATTAAAAAATACAATAGTAGCTGCAAAATGCCATAAAGTACATAGGATTTTCTGGAGGTTTCAAATATGTTACACAAAAATATTCTCTGACAGGTCACATATAAACTCACATTAATGATTTACTGTAGTCTTTTGCATGGAAGTACTCCTCACCCATCTGTACCACTACAATGTAATGAAATATAATTTTATATTGTTTGGGTAAACAGAATTGCCCTGTCCTTAATTTTAAAAGAGCTTTGATATTAGAAAACTAGAGGCTCTAAAGAGCCTGTGTCGCTCACCTTGGTCTATGTGCATATTAAACAAAGGACACAGATGGATTCATGACAAAATGTGTTTTGGTGATGGTGATGTGTTTGTAGATCTTACTTAACTGAACATTCTTGCTCCTTACTATTATCTCTATCTATAATGAACTTGGCCCGGTAGTTACAGTGGAAAATATTTTGTAAAAATTTACAAAAATTTACAAAATTTATGAAAATTGTAAAAAATTGACTATAAAGGGCAATAACTCCTTAAGGGGTCAATTGACAATTTTGGTCATGTTGACTTATTTGTAGATCTAACTTTGCTGTACATTATTGCTGTTTACAGTTTATCTCTATCTATAATAATATTCAAGATAATAACCAAAAGCTGCAAAATTTTCTTAAAATTACCAATTCAGGGGCAGCAACCCAACAACGTGTTGCCTGATTGGTCTGAAGATTTCAGGGCAGATAGATCTTGACCTAATGAACAATTTCATCCTCATCAGATTTGCTCTAAATGCTTTGGTTTCAGAGATATGAGCCAAAAACTGCATTTTACCCTATGTACTATTTTTTAGCCATGTCGGCCATCTTGGTTCGCGGGCGGGGTCATCAGACACATTTTTTAACCTAGATACCCTAATGATGATTGTGGACAAGTTTGGTTAAATTTGTCTCAGTAGTTTCAGAGGAGAAGATTTTTGTAAAAGATTACAAAAATTTACGAAAAATGGTTAAAAATTGACTATAAAGGGCAATAACTCCTTAAGGGGTCAACTGACCATTTTGGTCAAGTTGACTTATTTGTAGATCTTACTTTGCTGAACATTATTGCTGTTTACAGTTTATCTCTATCTATAATAATATTCAAGATAATAACCAAAAACGGCAAAATTTCCTTAAAATTACCAATTCAGGGGCAGCAACCCAACAACGGGTTGTCCGATTCATCTGAAAATTTCAGGGCAGATAGATCTTGACCTGATAAACAATTTTACCCCTGTCAGATTTGCTCTAAATGCTTTGGTTTCAGAGATATAAGCCAAAATCTACATTTTACCCCTATGTTCTATATTTAGCCATGGTGGCCATCTTGGTTGGTTGGCCGGGTCACCGGACACATTTTTTTAACTAGATACCCCAATGATGATTGTGGCCAAGTTTGGTCAAATTTGGCCCAGTAGTTTCAGAGGAGAAGATTTTTGTAAAAGTTAACAACGACGGACGACGACGGACGACGGACGCCAAGTGATGAGAAAAGCTCACTTGGCCCTTTGGGCCAGGTGAGCTAATTATATTCTTATCTGTCAAAAAAAATATCTGTTTTCCTATCAAAATGGAACACACTTTAATAATTCATAATATTAAAATGAATATTCCATATATACACTGTAAAAGAAAACCCAGGTTAAAATATAGAATAGGAAAAATGGCTAATTTTTATCACAAAAAGTTTAGTCATAGAACATTGTCAATATTGACACATGCATTTTTTGGAAAAAACTTAAATTCTGATTACTCCCCTTCCAAGTATAATATTTTGATGTATGCTACACATGATTTGCACATGCTCTTGCTGATATATCAGTATCTGTACATACTTCTTATTAAAGCTTTAAATGAAGTAGAAAGGTACAGCAGCATTTCTAAAATATTTAGATTTGTTTTTTTAACTTTACACATTGCCTTACAAAAGATATTTTACAGCTGGTAAAATACTTTGAGCTTAACTTCAGTATCTGCATGGATTTAGTGAAATTGGTTTTGTTTATTATTTTTTTCCATTCCATAAAGTAAACACATCTTACTTAAATATCTCTTCATCCTTGGAGACTTGTATTTCTTAAACTGAGCCACAGCACTACTCAACAATGGTATAATCAACCACTGAAATATATCATAACATGTTTAATTGTTCAAATATATCATAACATGTTTAATTGTTCAAATATACCATAACATGTTAAATTGTTCAAATATATCATAACATGTTTAATTGTTCAAATATATCATAACATGTTTAAATGTTACAACATGTTTAATTGTTCAAATATATATCATAACATGTTTAATTGTTCAAATATATCATAACATGTTAAATTGTTCAAATATATTATTACATGTTTAATTGTTCAAATATATATCATAACATGTTTAATTGTTCAAATATACCATAACATGTTTAATTGTTCAAATATATCATAACATGTTCAATTGTTCAAATATATCATAACATGTTTAATTGTTCAAATATATCATAACATGTCTTACTGAAAACAAACATATTTCGCTGATCATTGTATATCATGTAGCCCTTTCTAGCTGGTTCTGTGACAATTAGTGATTTTCTAACTGTTGTTGACTTTATATAAAAAAAGATCCAAGGTTGCATGATAAAATAAGCTGGTTTACAGAAATATTTTAAGAAGAACAAAACTTGACCTAAAATCCCTTATTCTACTACAAACTAGCTAAGGAATAACAAAGAGTATAAGTGTCATTATGAGAGATTTTGATAAATTGCCAAAACATTTTTTTATTCAAAATGTAATGTCCTATTTTGATTTTCCAAAAAATATACTGCACCAATATACAATTACCTTGAGGCTATTTCTGATAAGGTTTTAATTTCAGAAACACTAATATCATGCTCCGACTTAAACAAATTTTTCTTATAACATTCATCACATATTTTACCTTTTTTTTTATCACGAATATATTTTAACATAAAATATTGAAAATTTTGTCAAAGATAAAACATGTGTGTATACTTTAAAATTGAAAGCTTCATAAATTCCTTATATATAATAAGGAGGCGTGGTATGATTGCCAATGAGACAAATATTCACTGGACCAAATGATTTAGATGTTAGCAACTTTAGGTCACTGTACAGCCTTCAACAATGAGCAAAACCCATACCACGTAGCAAGCTATAAAAACTACTTTTCTAATCTGGTAATATTAAGAGAGCTATGTACCAAATTACAAATACATTGAAACTCCATCTTTGCATTGTAACATACTTAAAATATTGCAGCGCTATAGCAGGGTATTCAAGGACCTTAACTCTTTGCGTATTTCTACCTTTTCAAAGATTATTTTAATTTTAATCAATATGACTGACTTGACACTTACCGAATGGTCTTCCTGAACTTCTAAACTCTGCAAAGCTAGAATGCCATCCTTTTCTCTTTGAAGATCTGGAGCCTCTATACCTATTTAAAATTTTGGTATCATAAAATGTTATATAAAGTTAAACATGGTAGAGTATAAGCTTTTATAGTATGGGTATAAAAATAATCCAATAATACAGCCATTTACATAAAACACTAAGTTCATTAAATCTACAATTATGACATTAAACATTGAAATTTTGCTATGGAGGTTATTTTTGCCTACCTCTCCAAAAGCATTAAATACAAATGCAAACTGTTTTTTTTTTTTTCGTAAATCCACTTATAGGGAATAAAAAGAGGGGGTTTTAGTTCTAAAAAATCCTGTCACATATTTGTGTCCCTGTTCAAAGTCAGCGATCAATTTCTTAAGTCATGAATATTTCAGTATATCTTACGATAAATTTTTGTCATAAAATTTTTTGTGAAAAAAGCCCCAGGAACCTTATAAATGACTGTCATTTGTCATATCATAAGTTGTGTTTTTATCATTACAGGGTATCTTATGTTGGTAGACAAAATATCATAGTCACTGTTAAATCTATTCACAGCTTTTTTAGACATGTAATGATTTAAAGCTTCATATATTATAAAGACACCATTTTATTGCTGAAGAACATAACAGTATGTTGACCTCTGAAAATATTTTGTTTTTTTATGTATCATAAAGTTGATATCTCATTGATGTATACCCTGGCCTACATCTATTATTCATACTACATGTACATTAATAACAGCAATCAGTAACTCCCATGAAAGATACACCCATAAAAAACTATCCATGTCATGGAATCATTTCACAGTTCAGGGTACTGTAAAAGCTGCGACTAAATAAAACACACTTACTATTAATCGTATGCAGATTTTAACTACGATAAATTCAGAAATGTTTGCTTTCATTTATTATTGCAATTGATGAGTAATGGACACAAATGCGAGATTAACTAGACATCATTGAGATGGGAGCCATCTCTGTGGACCCCGCTGACCTTGAACTTTGACCTAGGAAGTTGTACAAACATTATGACACACCCTCTGGTGTTGGTTAATATACAAGTCAAGTATAAAACGTTTCTCTAGATATAGAGCTGACACAATTTGGTACGGACGGACAGACTGATCACTATAGGGCGTCCCGCCACTAGGCGGGTCCCTAATTATTGAGATTTCAAGAAATGCTATATAAAAAATGATGCTATCGAAATATAAAATACAAGTTGCAAAACATATCCTGTTGCAATTTTTGCAAAAATAAAAACATCTCTACAATTTATGAATTTACAGTATAAAGAAGAGAAACGTTATATACTCACTCTGATGTCCCTGTCTCCATGGTCTTTGTCCATAAAAGTCTAATTTATACAGATTTTCTAATGGATCAGGATGGAGCACCTGTGTCAGAGGCTGAAAAAGGATGTAACATAATGTTCAAACAATACAAGGAGTAACTTTACATTTTTTTCTCTTTGATTGTGAATTCAAAAACTAAATTAGAGTAATTCAAACAGAGACCAAACAATGCAAGACTCTATGATATCCTTCCCAGAGGTATATAATCTGTCTAATAATTGGTAGTTAGTTAAATTCTTTATGATAGAAGACTCTATTCTATTTTCAGATGAAAACCTATGGATTGCAGGAATTCATACTTTTTTTTATAAAATAAGATGTGGAAAAATAATGGTGAAAATTTTATGAAACCTTTTGATAAAACTAATATGGGTTTTTAACACAAATTTACTTGTTTTTTGACCAATCAAACTAGCTCAAAAATTTCCTTCTTTACGTCTTTGATATCTTGAACTTATACAAGTTTTAGAACACTAATGTCTCAATAATTTCCTTTCAGTACATGTATGTGGTCACTGGACTCTTCATCTTACCTTGCATAGTCCCCTACATAACTGTTTCCTAGCAACAGCATGATTGGCAGCTTGCTGGTAGTAGAACCCTGGATGCTGAGTTTGTATTGCAGTTAATCCTAACTTTATAGCTTCATCAAATAAGTCTCCAAAAACTTGAAATCTAAAAATATTGAAACATGGTATTATTTGAGAGAGAAAAAAAACCTAGATACTGTGGATTCATTTGTTTTTCGTGGGTACCAATTTTCATGGATTGAGAAAATTTTGTATTTTCAAGGGTATTTGATTTCATTGTTTGCCAAAGTCTGCATACAAGCATTTGGAAAAGTTGTACTTCGTTGAAAATCTAAATTCCTGGTTTAACTGTACCCAAAAAATCCACAAAAATTGGTATCCTATGACAGAGTATAGATCAGATATTTTTCATACTTATCTCATTCCAAATTCAAAACGGAGTTAGACTGATATTGACAGCATGCAAACATATGATCACTGATGTAAATTTCAATTGCAATTGTTAATACACAGATATACCAGTGTAATCAAATTAAGAAATGCTTGCAATATTCTACTATCGCAAGAAATGCAAATAGATGAGCCTTACCTTAATTAAAACTCAATTTCATATTCCTAAAGTTTTTCTTGTTTATAGTATTTCAAGAAATTGCAATAATTAACCACAAAGTTTTGTCTGTTAATTAAATAATTTCTGAGTTTACAATGTGTTTGTTCTAAAGTCATTACATTTTTAAGATACATGCAATAATTTTGAAGTTTACAAAGTGTTTGTTCCAAAATCCTTAAGATTCTACCTCTTTATCAAGTGATATGAGATATTTCTCCACTGAGATAGCTAAACTTTGAAATTTAATTGTCTTGTGTAAAGAAATAACGCATTTCATGTGATACATCTGCTATGTTAGCCATGCTTTGTTTTTTTCTTGGTGATCTGCAAAATATGTGTTTTTATTGAGTGGCCTTCAGACATGGTGGATTTTCCCCCATGTAATCAAAATAAAATGCTGGGAAAAGTATAAACCTGCTCCAATCTTTGTCTAAAGATTTCTGGTTTCCTTTACTCATTACTATGAGTACAAAATTTGTACTCGAAACACCAAATCCAGTACTTTGATTGGTTGATTGGTTGATTTATGAGTGTGAGTAAGATAATCATACTCCAAATGATTATGATCGTGAGGTCTGGTATTTTAACTTACATTGGTAAACAAATTTGTCTAAGAAATTAAATTTTTATTTTGTCTAGAATGTATAATTTTAAATTTATCTTCAAATTTAATTGATAATCACAATATCAAAAGTTGGTATACTCACTGTTTTGACATCCATGCACTGTGTTCAAATGCTAACTCTGCTATTCCAATTTTTCCTTTAAAGAAGTCAATATGTTTCCTAAACTGAGCTATAGCGTCTAGAGGAGCATTGTGTTGGAATGATAGTCTACAAATCTGAAATTAAAGTTTGTTTTACTTAAAAATTTTATCCATGGAATATAAGATTATATTTTTCACAACTCGAGAAAGATACTGATAAAAAATCACAAAGCACTTCATTTTTTTAATAGAATAAAAAGAGATGTCAGGTAAACAACAATGAGACCTAATGACACTAAAAACATCTTTAGGTAAACCTACATGCTGACTGCAACTTATAATAAGTGTCTCCTGTATACAGTTTGTCCAACTCAAAATAGGCCAATGTCTGGAAACACTGAGTAAACTTAACAGAAATGATAAAACATCTGCTACAACTCCCTAATTCAGTAAGACTTTAAAATTGTTATTTGGTGCTTCTCCGCTAAGCACACCAGGGACTAAACTTAACTCTTTTTCTCTAGGGGCCAGCTGGGCCCCCAATATATTTTTCAGGGGCCCAGTTGAAATTTTAGGGGCCCAACCAATTTTTATTCTAATAAAATAAATCTTAAATGTACATTTTATATACTAATAAAGCCTTTTCATGTAATCCTATATGTAATGTTTGAGTCTGGTAAAGGTTATGTGTGGTAACTTTATAATATTTGAATTATTGCCATCATAAATATATCATAAGATTTGACAGTACTGAATTTAAAACAATTCCCTCCCTTCAATTGTCTCCCTTCAATTTGAACTTCCTGTTGACAATATAGCTGTTTCCATAAAACATTAAATGTTATTTCAAATCCAAGCCATCCTCTAATAAGTGTTGATCAAAAATATTGTATAATTACTTTTCATCGAAGATTGGTTAGCATACTAGATATATTATATTTATTTATGAGATTTTGCGTTTCGTTTTTTCATTGAAGAACAAGTTGTGTTTACAAGTTTTTGTCAATAACAGACTTGTTACGACTCCCTGAACAACTGGGGTGTATCTCGAAAGTAATTCAGATTCAACAGCGTAACGAAAAGACTTAAAAAAAATGAATTAATAGTAGAAGATTTGAAAAAGAAATTAGAAAACGTGTTTAGAGAAGGGTATACATGTGTCAAATCGTGACTTCGCATCAAAAACTTAGTTGTCCGACTGGGTTTTGGTTATTAAAATGACCTTACTGGTTTCCGGAAATCCTCTGTTCCATTTTCCCACTTTAATTAAACAATCGGGTTTCCGTTTGGGAACAGTTTTTGTTTATATCGTGGGGGAAAGGATAGACATGGGGTTCAATTCAAAATATTTTCGGTCGCCAGCTGGGCAATCAGGATGATAAATATATTCGCCCAGCCGAAAATCTGGTCGCATTGGGCGGCTGGGCGACCGTTAAGTTTATCCCTGCACACAATTAATGAGTTAGATTAAAGACTTAGTCAGTTGACCTGGAGTCAGCATAATGTGTCCAGGTAGGGTGACATGTCTTCCTGTGGGCTCTTAGTTCAAGCACTTTAGAAATTCGTCTCATGGGGGTGGTATAGTCCAATGCAGGGTTCATATTCATATCGGTGTAACATGTTCTTGTCCTAAATATGCATTTCCTTTGCCGCTGGACGTTAAAAAGTAATCTATCCATCCCTAATGCCGTTAAGGAAAAACAAATAAGATATATAAACATGCTAATTGACAGTAATCTAAGAAATCTAGAGTACAAACTTTGTAGTTGATGAAACCAGCTATACTCTTTATCTCCAACAGGTTGGTGTCATGCATCCTTAGTTCCAGTAAGTGTCCATATGCTTGCTTATAGTTCCTGAAATATCATCAGATGAGTAAAATATGATTTGATTTTGATTTTTGGTGTTTTAACGCCACTTTTAAGCACCGCTTTTGGGCTATTTTGTGGCGGCCAGTTTTTATTGGTGGAGGAAGCCGGAGTGCCCAGAGAAAACCACCAACCTTCGATAGGAAAAGTGACAATCCTAGTCAATTAAGATTGGAGTCGAGTGCACCCGCACAAGCAGGATTTGAACTCACAACCTCAGTGTTGACTGGCTAGTGATTACAGTAGTAACTACTTAGACCACTCGGCCACCGAGGCCCCATAGTAAAAGATGTACCACCCAGTAGCGAACTTTATATATTTTCATAGAATTTTCAAAGTGTTTTCACTTAGACTTTTTTGTCTTCTGAAGAAGAGATAATTTTTATGTTAATCCATCAACACCACCACAATTCAATAAATTGGGGTCTTACATTAAAAAAAGTCATTACAAATGAGGACAGAGGACTTAGGACTATTTACAGTAATTAAATGATTATGTATGTTTATGTGAATTTTCAGTTATATTATACACTGATTTTGTACTTGTCACAAACTTACTGTTAAAAGTTCATATGGCAATAAACATTTGAATTATCATTGTATATAATTTTATATATTTGTGTTGCATATTACGAAATCTGTCCTATAAACTTTCAACATATCACTTTTTTTACCAGCTTCATGATAATCTTGCACAATACCCTTCAGTGTAGCCACCATCAATTTTATTAATAGATTAGGTAGGTAGATTCATTTTACTTTACAAATTCGAAAAGCCGTATAAGATTATTACATATAGAGCCATTTTGGCCACAAAACCATACCTTATTTCTATGGTAATACTTACTTGATAGCTGTGTGACTGTCTTGCTTTAGTTCATTAAAGAAGGCTATTTTAAACTGATGTCTCACAAACAGGAGCTAAAATTACAAATACAGTCTTGTGTCAGGTAAAATTTACTTCCAATTACTTTGCCTAGATTTCACATTTTTCCATCATATCGAACTTATATCAATATATTGTAATTGTCATTTTTTATCCATAATCTAAATCATACCAAAATTCAAAACTGCAATTAACTTCCCTATTACCTACTTAAAAAGCAGAGAGACTTAATTTTATTTTATTCAGAAATACAGTAAAATTGTAGATGTGGTTAGCCTAAATGTATTTTACAGATCATTGATATTAAGGGAGAAACAATTTACTGCAGTTTTGATGTATCATGAGATTTTCTCTCGCTTGTAAATTGCTAATATGCTTCAGTACTTTAGTTCAGTGTCCATAAGAATTGATAAGGTTTTTTTTAAATATTCTATTCAGTCAACCAAACAAATTTTGTGCAATAAATGCACATTTTGGATTGGTGTTTTTTTAAATGTCTGCATTTTGCTAATTTTGACCATAGTGAAGGGTTTGCTGCAATATTTTGACAGTACAGATGATTCAAACTGCCTTTGAGTAGTCAGGATGTAAATTTTATTGCTTGTTTGCTATAAATGTCAAAACATGAGCTCGATCACTTTTGGGTTGAGGAATCACAATGTATGAACCACAATTCTACTATGGGGCAAAGAAAGTTATATGAATAGAGCTATGGTAAAATATTTGATATATCATTATAAGTATCAATCAAACAGTCACGTTATGTGAATGATATTATATTTTTTGTAAATAGTATTTTCTGCTTTAAGAATTTTAGTCATTTTTGTGCCTTCCCAGGGTACTCCTAATTTTTGTAAATTTTACCCTTCACTTCAATGCTGTAAACTTGGGGTAAAATTAACAAAATAAAAGGTTTACCTATAAAAACCTCCAAGCTGCCATAAATTATTCCCGAAACAAAGTTGGGATACCTGTTACTATAGTTACCTGATGTGTTGTCTTGTTAAGGAAGTCTCTGTGTGACTTGACTTTTCTTGCTTCACTATGATAGTAGCTTTGGGCTAATTCATAAAAAGCATTTTCTAATCTGTAAAATATAACATTTTTCCTGTAATATATCTTAAAGAAATAGTAAATATTAACTCAATTTGTTGTTAATTGGGTTAGGGCTATGTCACATGATTTTGGTAAAATTTTGCATACAACGTTTGCTCTTTGAACTATAATTGAACATAAAAAAAATAATCCAGAAGTCATTAACTTTGAAAATAATGTTTATAATCTAACAAGTTTAAGGTGTAAACAAATGCCTCGGAAACATCAAATACATTGTGAATATCATTACTATGAAATATGATTGCAAACAAATAAGGGTTCAAAGAGAATATATTTGCTATTTTTAGAGAACATTGAGCTATGGAAGCCAAGTCAGATTATGTATATGCTGTTGCACATTCCATATATGTATATAAAAAAATGTTCTCTTATCTACAATTACCAAATGGGTTTATTATTTTTTCAAATCAACTTTGGGTTTGTTTGATCTCAATTATAGAGTGTCCACAGTTAAATTATGCTGTCAGATTTTCTTGTCTTCCTCTGACTTTGTTATTGTGATATCAAGAAAGAGGTGACATCATGTATGAAGAAGTCTAACAGAAAAAAAACTTGATCTTTTGACAGATCTTTGAAAAATAAATGTAAATCTTGCCTACATATCATTAAGAGTCTAAGACAGATATTTAACTAAACTAACTTGAGTGTACCGTTTATCTAAGGAAGTTACCTCATGTACATTCAAATTAACTCCAATACTGATGCTTTTTTGTTTTAAAGTTTTTTGATCAGATGAATGTTTGAGGATATAAAAGAAATTGATGATCAAATTTTAAAGTCTTATAAAATATGTAAGATAAATAATAAGGATAAGACTGAGGATATATATTTGCATACATGTATATATTCAAGAATTCATTTATTAAATGTAAAATCAGAAAACAGATAAGTCAGATTTGAACACTATGACACATTCCATATGATATGAATATTTATTCCTGATTGACTAATAAAAATCATAGATTGAGTACACCCCATTTCATTTATCATCAGAAAAAATACATATTAGGTGGAGGGTTGGGAGCCCACAAACATTTTTAACCCCACCCCATTCTTTAGGTGCCTGTCCCAAGTCAGGAGCCTGTAATTCAGTGGTTGTCGTTTGTTGCTGTATATCATACTTTGTTTTTCGTTCATTGTTTTGTACATAAATCAGGACATTAGTTTTCTTGTTTAAATTGTTTTACATTTGTCATTTTGTAATTGTGCCTTTTATAGCTGACTATGCAGTATTGCTTTTGCTCATTGTTGAAGGCCGTACTGTGACCTATAGTTGTTAACTTCTATGTCATTTGGTCTCTTGTGTAGTGTTGTCTCATTGGCAATTATACCACATCTTATTATTTCTATATAGTACATTTGAGGTGATTCTTTTGAAGATCACCCTTGCTGGTGTTGAGTGAACCACTGTGAAAGAGGTGATTGGAGGTGATAACAATTTGATTTATGACCACATCATACAGAAGGATTATACAGAAAGATATTTCAGATTGAATAACACACAAATGCTAGCATTTACTGTAACAATCACAAGAAAGGGTTTAAACTGAATTCCCTTTAAAATTTGTGTACTGTAAGACAAGAGTCTCAACAGAGCATTTATTGTACACTTGATTTATACATTATGACCTAACATGAGCTATTAACATCATATTTATTGCCAAAATTATTTTATTTTGATGGATATTGTTCCAATGGAACATGTGATTCTTCTGGTGAGAGTCAAAATCAACTGATTTTTAAGCCCTCTTGTGTCCCTCCCATTAATAATTAAAATTTTCAGGTTTTTTAAAAATTTCAACCCAAAAACAATTTGTCGGCCTCCATTTAATCATTATTCATTGATGTCAATCTGTATCATATTATACCCATGGATAATAAGTGAAACTGTGAGCTACTGCTCACTGATGATACTCCCATCCCAAATATGCATTTGTTGTTGAGTGATGAATCTGAAAACGCATCACACGGTATAGCTGACTTATATAAACCCTGAAACCAAATTTCAGAAATCCTTATGATGTAGTTCCTGAGAAAGATGCGACGAAAAATATTCATGGGATGGACGGACGGATGGAAAGACAGAGGAAAAACAGTATACCCCCACATTTTTAAAGCGGGGGTATAATAATTCTTATTCTTTTGAGATTCTTGCAACCAAACTAAATCCTGTTTTTCTGGACGTCATGAATTTCATGAGATCAAAATAACAGATGAAATTACAGAGAGAGACTATCCACAGATTAATCTCGTTAATTAACTCATATCTTGCAAGGATACAAAGGATTAGAAATTTTTCTTAAAATTTTACACTGGTTATTACTAAAAAAATTAGCTTGGAACACAAGTCTCCACATCAGACAGAGATTATTGATAGATGTAAAAGTAAACAGACAGCAATGAACAAAGACAAATGCGAAATGAAAGCAATAACGGAGACTTTCCTAAAAGGGACAGGTGAACTAAACAAGAAAATGTGCAGACATTATATCATAAAGCAATTCAACAACTTATGCTGTCACTTACACAAGAATCTTAAGCCTGTTCAAACATATATTGTGTTAATTCATGTATGGTTATCTTAAAATATCAGTATAACATAAAATATTGTAAATTCAGAAATTTTTGTGTGTTTTTACTATTGTGATAGATGAAAAATGGACAAAGTGCAAGATAAATTACCACCATTTCTGGAAAATGCTGCAAATAATGTTATCAAATTTTAGACAACAAATATCTTTATTTGCAAAAGATATCCTGTAGTAATTTTCACAATAGTTAAATCATTACAAAAATTTCTGAATATACAGTAAATAGATTTTCTTTGAGGATAAAATCAAATGTTAGTTTTCATATTATTTACAGCTGATATATTTAATGCATAAAAGTTAGGTTTGCCTGTTTGGTGAACCATGAATTCTTAATTAGCTATTGTAAATATAGTATAAACACACAATGGTTTTATATTCCACCATGTGTAACCAGATCTATAATTTGATTGGCTAGGTGCTAGCTATTGTTACTACTGGTGCTATAATAAAAAAAAAAGCATCTTGCATGTGTTGTCGTGTTTAGAATACCCCACTTGTATTTCAATGTATCGTAAAACAGATAAGTGGATGTCTGACAGATTGGAAAAGCGTTCACGTCATAACATATCATCACTGCTAAGCTGCCGACATTACATCCCTCCTACCTTATAGTATATCCTATGAGATGGTCTGTATGGGGAAGGACATACAGCTGTTTTGCCGACAAGTCACAAGCACTACAGAGGGAGGCAGCTCTCTCTGCAGCAATCACATCTTCTCCTGGTGGTAATGGGGCATTTTTCTGTATCAATACAACAGCTACTTTCGTTGATCTGCCTTGTAAACTGTTTCTGTAATAAATTAAGACTTATAACAAATAAGTTTATAAATAAACTGTTGACATCTGTAAATTCATAAATTTTAGAGATGTTTTTGTATGTATCTCACTGTAGTCTGCTTGTAGTTTAGTATGGGGTTCATTATCACTGAACTAGTATATATATTTGTTTAGGGGCCAGCTGAAGGACGCCTCCGGGTGCGGGAATTTCTCGCTGCATTGAAGACCTGTTGGTGACCTTCTGCTGTTGTTTGTTCTATGGTCGGGTTGTTGTCTCTTTGACACATTCCCCATTTCCATTCTCAATTTTATTATATAAATGCAAAAAATGTGCGTCAGGTTCCCAATAATGAAAACTCACATTTTTAATTTAAGAAGTGACTTCCCTTCTTTAAATTTTTGCTTTCACATTAATTAAATTTCACATTTTTGCCAGAGGTCAAGGATTCGCAATTATAAATGCATACATTGAGTTCATAATCCTTACCGTTCTTTATATTATTACTGATCGTATTTATTATTGAAATACTTTTGGTTGCAAGTCCAGAAGAAGCAAAAAATGAGGAAAATCGGAAAAATTTCATATTTTTGGTGGAAATGACCTCCTTTAGAATTCTAGTTAGATTAGGTGCACTCCGAACTCAGCACTTTTGTGGTCAATGTGTTCACTGGGGTGCACTCTACAAGCAGACTACAGTGAGATACATCTTTCAGCATCCCTCTGTCTTCAAGGTTAAGAAATAGGAGGTAAAAGTTGATGCCTTTTGCACCTGATGACCAACTTTGGAGAAGCACCAATTGGGTGATCATGTTTTCTGTTATGTGGAAGGAGTTAAAGTCTCATATGTGTCGTTTGTTGTGCAATCAATAAACAATATTTTCTATAAATAAATAATTGGATAGATAGACATATGTGTAACAAGCAGTGAATTAAATAAAGGACAGAAATGAGAAAAAAAAACCAAAAAAACAAAGAGTCCAATGAGTCCTTGGATTGCATTTCAAATTATTTTTTTTAAAAATGATAAACTCGTTAATTCTGTTTCAAATGAGAACCATCATACTGGATTCTAAAAAAAATTAGCAACCCATATTTAATTCTGAATAACATGAGAAGCCCTGGTTCTAAATTCTAAATCCTCAATTAATATTTCTGTATATAAAAAAAAATCTAACCTGACAATTTCAACTCTGGTAGCACATTCCATTTGTTTCTCTTTCCACATTGGTTCATCCCAGTCAAGGTCAAAGAAAACCACGACAACAGCAGGAACTTCCTGTAAATGTTTGCACATCCACCCAGTTTTGACGATACCCTTTGGTATGTACCACTCATATGACTGTCTCTGCAATATACATACAATCAATTTTACTTAAGAATTTCTTTAAACTAAGTTTGCATTGAGAAAAACTACTAAGTTGTACTAACAATTTATTACTAACTCTAAAAATTTAAGGCGTAGAAAGGGAGATAAATCTTTAAATTCAGTAATGCACATGAAATAGTTAGTTTTAACAATGCTTTTTCAGGATTTGAAGAAGATTGGAGAATATTTATGAAATTGGTTGACATAAGAGTATTAATAATTCTTAAGTTATTTCCCTTGACCTAGTGCAAAAAGCTTACCACATTAATAAGAATTTTTTTTAGACTTTCAAGGAATTTGGAAAGGTTTCTAGGTAATTTTTGGTTTAGCATGATTAATATAAAGCTTCTTTAATGTGTATAAAAAAGAGTACTTGAAACTTTTAGCTCCATATAGAGAAAGGAAGTCTTTGAAAGCTGCACCTTTAGTATGTCTGACAGCTGTTTACAATGAATGCGACTCACAGGAGCATCTTTTTTATATTACCTTGTTTGTCCTACATTTAGGGTACTCATGGTCTCCTGAGAAGACTTTAAACTGAAGTGGCACACGATCTGGTCGTCTGTTGTTACAAAATGAGTCCCAGATCAGTTTATGAATTGCATTGTAAGTAACATCTAAACCAGTCAGGACTATAAGACTAGTAGGTCTACATAAAAGTTCTTCAGGAAGCAGACAAGCCCAAGACATTATAAATCTGGAATTAGAATAATTATACATTTTCACATTATGAGAACAAGATAGAAATGAATAAAAAGAGATGTGGGGTATACAGTCTTCAACAATAGACTAGCGTCAATAGAGTACCGGGTATATCAAGTACTATATTTTTCCTAGTCTAGAAAAGTTATCCATGAAATATTTTTTATCATTGTCATGTTTAGTAAAGACATTTATTATACCTCATCAGTATATTTATTTCTACATAAAAAGGAATGAAATGTTTGTGCTATTTCATTCCACAGACTATTTGCCAGTTAATAGTTCCAAAGACTTTTACTCCGGTCTATAGTTTTATAATCATATTTCCCGTACTTTTTCATAATTATTTTTCATTGGACAAAATTTGTGTTGCTTGAATGTTTGTGCATGGGAATGTGAAACTCAGAAGTAATCTGCAAGTGTCTGTTGTTATTTCAAATTAATAAATTACTTACCATGATAAAATATTAAAAGAAAAAGAAAATCTACACAATATATTGATAGTACAACAGAACAAATGTATGGTATGGGTCTGTCGTCTTCTTCATAATCTGTGATTGCTTTGGTATACAGCTATAAATTTAAGTTAGCGGTAAATATATGCATGACTTTACATAAAGATTCCAGGTTTTGATAACAGTAAATAAAATATTTACAAATACCACACAGGCAAAAACAAAAACCTTTATAGTTTATCTTCTGCATGTAAATATGTGACTAGTTTGTTTTTGCCACATGGTGTATGTAGATTTATTTAGAAAGTTGTTTTGTTCGGTATAATAAAGCACTTAATGACTGTTAATTAGGGTAATAGCAAGTTTGTTGTCCTTCGATACTTACTATTACCCTGGGCTTCGCCTCGAGCAATAGTTGGTACAAGTATCTCAGGGATAACAAACTTCCTATAACCCTCATAACCAGTCAATAAGAGTATACTATTATAGATGGACAATTAAACACGCTATTACAGCAATGTAGTCAATTCATATAATGATTCATTATATAAATAGAAAGAGAAAAGATTGTGGCTAAATTCAGTATTTTCCCGTTTTGAAATTTTATTTCTACTCATTCATCTCACTTGTTATGACATGTATGGGCAATCAGACAACCATATTGCTTTACTTTTATTGTATTTTCTTTAAATAATTACATTGTGTAAAAAATTGACTTTAAAATTGAGAATGGAAATGGGGAATATGTCAAAGAGACAACAACCCTACCAAAGAGCAGACAATTGTTTCTGACTGTTTTTACAATGTTGGAAACACTGTCCACAAAATGGACTGTTCACCAAGGCAACAGATCATAGTCCATGTATGCAATAGTATGTAATCATCCGGTGTCAATAGTTTATTGTATAAAAAAGAAGACTGTTCAATGATAATTTCTGATTTGTTGACACCTCAATATACATCAAAAGTCATCATGTTTAATTGGTCAGTCTTGGCTTTTTCTACCTTTTGCTCAGTTTCTCACATTCATATACACAGTTTACTTTATTCTTATCAGTTTAAAATTCATTTCTAAACCATACACTAAACGCAACAGAAATTCTATTATACCAAGCATAGTGCCTTTAGTTTAGTGGTCTATGAAGACAGTGCTTTGTACATGTATCTTTCAGAAGCAAAAAGGCAGATTATTAACCACTGAACGTAGACTGAGAATGAATAATAGGCCTCATTTCATTAAAAGTACTCAACGTACGCTTGTTTTCCTTCTCATATAATTTTTTTTTATCAAGGAATGAGTGTCGTCTTCTCCGGAAACGTCTGATCGATGTTAATTGACGAACCAATCGCGGTGTGATCGGTAATTGCGGATGAGTTGCTTCTCTCAAAAACTACAAACACAGGCTTAACGTAGCGCGGGACGTGGCTTTACATCAACGAATAAATAAATATTCGTGCAGACATGTATACTGATCTAAAGAGCAGAGAAGGAATATCAATGAGTCATGATGAGATACAGACCATTTAAGGGGGGGGGGGGGGGGTGGGGTGGGGGGGGGGGGGGGGGGGGGAATGGGGGGGGGGGGGGGGGGGGAAGGGGGGAGGTAGGACCTTTATCGGGACTCCGGGATCGGGTGTTTTTAAGCTCGGGATTTCGGAATTCTTTTTTCGAATTTCGGGATGTCGGGATTTAAATTTTTTTAAATTCGGGACCTCGGGATTCCATGTTTTTAAGCCCGGGATTTCGGGATCAAGACCCCTCCTACCCCCCCAGATTTAATAACCTAAAAGGACAAAATGTCCGAGTTTAAATGATTATTTGAAGGGGCATTTTAATAGCTACGATTTAGAAAAAATAAATAAATAAAATATGATTCAAGTGTTAATAAAAGCAGAATTTTGAAATAATATTTTGTTAATAGCAGTCATTTTGACCCAAATTTGTTAAAATAAGCTAAAAAATACCACACAGGATGTAATATTGACTTGCAAGCTAATAATTTAACCTCATTGGATCTGCATTCATGGGACCTGCAATTTAACCCCTTAGTGAGAGATAGGATACGCATTTACTAGCTATAGGCGTGTTCAGCTATCAAAATGAAAATCGAATGTCAACTTTGAAAGTGAAACACTTTTTATTTTTTTTTTTTTTTTTAGGGGCAAGGGAAGGCTTTTGGGCTTATCTTTCCTCTTTTCACACAGGTATAACAATTTGGACCTGGGGTTTATTTCACCCATTATTTATAACAATTTTAGTTTCAACTCTTTACTAAATGTTTCTATTTCCTTCATTCTTTCTAAGCTATATAGAAAGTTCTTGATGTTTCGTACGTCTAACCAGGTGTCAAAACTTCTCTTGATGTAGTTGTACGTATGTGATCTCTGATCTTTATAGATAAAGTTGTCTAGCTGAAGTGTATCGCTTCTTACTAAGAGGTATAAATCCTGGTCAACAATATCTAACACATACATCAATTGAGGTAGATCTAGGCAGATTTTATTAACTTTTAACCCTCTGGTATAACTGCAAGCTTCAAGTTGTTTCTTTTTTCTTTCTCTTTTTTTTTCGGTATGTTTTTCTTGTTCTTTTGTTGGTCGACCCTCGGCACCCACTCGGGCGGGATCTTCTTCCGATCAACGTTTCATCAGCCAAGTCATGGTTTGCTGATGGGTTGCTGTCTATAGACGTGTCTTGTGTCCCTGTTTCCATATCAGTGGTGATCGGAGGAATTTCCAAGATCTCGTCATTTGGGGGTGGTGCGGTTTTTTCCAACTCCTCGGTGTTTAAAGTCGGGTCTCCTGACTGTTGTTGCTTTTTGCGAGAGAGGAAAGCTTGTCGTCGACGGTTATTCCTATCTTGACGTGCTTTTGATGACCTCTTTTTCGTCACAGTTTCTTTCTTTCGATTTGACGCCATTTTATCTTGATCGAGTATTTGCCATTCCGTTTGGTTAGTATCCAATCGGCGGGTTGACTCTCAACGAGAGAAATGACTGCTGTTATATCATCTGGTAATTGTGTGGAAGTTTCCATACTCAATTTCTCGTCAGATGTATTATGTATTTGACATATCGTTCAAACTTTGTCGATCTGCCTAACATGTTGATTACTTTCATGTTTAACTAATAGTATTCGATTAGTCAAATGAAATGAAAGTGAAACACTTAGGGTGAACCATTTTGTTGACTGATTTGATCCACGAAAAATCATTCTTATGATACAGGTAAAAACGATGATTAACATACTTTTTTAACCTGTAATAATATAAAATCAAACAGACAGAAAAATCCAATTGCATGTGCTCGCTATATCTGTATCTATTTATATTTATGTTTATATCTGGTTATATGACCATTGGCAGTTTTTCTGAGCCTGGTTATCTTGATGGTCAATAAGATGGTGTCTAGACTAAAATACACACAAAATGCTGATACATATTACAGAGTCCATGCATTGTTAATTGTTTATTTTAGACTTTTGTAATTTGGATATGTTTTAGTATGTTACAAGGGAGCTTACCATTTGATTTTTATGGGGGGGGGGGGGGGGGGGGGGCAGGATGAAAAATTTTGTCCTGCATTTTTTTAGCTGTAATCTCTGTCCTGCCTGTTTATTTTCACTCTATTCGGTCCTGCCTTTTTTTTATTAGTTAATCCTGACTTTTTTTACATAAATTGTCATCCAGCCTTTTTTTTTGAAATTTCATCCTAGCCCCCCCCTAAAAATCAAATGGTAGCTCCCTAAATCAAATATGTAAATTTGAGTCAAATTGAAGAATATGAATTTGACAGCTAATGACCCTTTAAAAAAATAATATACTAAAAAAAGGAAACTAGTCAAATTAACGTACTGCCAGAGACATAATTATAATACATATTGTATTATATGTCTCTGGTACTGCATACTAAATCGGCAGTTTTTGAAGCAGCAACTGTTGTTGAAATAATAGAGCTTTTTTTATAAATTAATTCCAGTTTTTTGTCATCATTATATATAACTGGTTTAACTGAAAACTGGTTGTTGATGTCAAACTGATAATTGAAAAATAGTACAGGACTGGAAAAAGGCATAAGGTTGAAGACTTCGTATATTTTGCAGCTGCCATTTTAATGGATAAACCGTTTTTGATTGTTTGCCACATGATTTGAAAGAAAAAACTAATTGTCCATCACAAAAATTTATTTATTTAATTAAAAAATAAAAACAACACCATCACCTTCTAGTAAAATTTTCCTCAGGGAGTTGGGAAATATAGATCCAGCGACCGTGATATATTTAGTTTCTGGTAACAATGATATATTCTGGACAAATCAGATTCTTTATACCAAGTAAAAGAGTATTCCGAAAGTTCTTGTAATGGACGTAATTAATTAAAGGGCTCCGACAGCTTGGATTTGCAGTATAATATTGTGGTATATATTTATAATAATAGATAATTTTGACCAGGAGAATTTGGGCAATGTGAGCTATGGCTATCACTTGGAATCTGTTGTTGTCGTCTGTAAGTGTTGTCAGTTGTCGTAAACTTAAAAAAAAAAATCTTATATTGGCTACTAAATCTATCATCAAAATATAAAACTTTGAATTACTCATAAACGCTATGTCATACCAGAGGTAACAGCAAGCAAAGCTTACACAATGATACTCCAGCTGCTGTATGAGGGTGTGGATGGGGGTTTACAGAATAGAGAATAATGGGCAAAAAATATAAAGAATGGAGAAAAATGGACCAAAAAAATATTTAATAGAGAATAATGAGGTGCTTAATTATAAAGAATAGAGAATAATGGGCAAAATGTATAAAGAATACAGAAATAAAGGACTAAGTTTATGACCTTGACCTTGCACTTTCTTTGTATCAGTAGCATCCTTAAATGCATTCAAAACTTCTGAACAGGACACTTCTCTCACAGACAGATTCCTATAATATGCCACAAAGCCTGACAAAGGGTATAAAAAAGGGTTCTGTATAGCACAGTGTCTTACCAGTGATCACTGTGAAAGTGTAAAAGAGTACTTTTGACTGCCAAAAACTTAATCCATGACTCCATGTATATTTAAAATACACATTTTGTTATTCTTAAATTGCACTTTTTTTTCTTATGCGATTTTTTCTTTTGAAGAAGCTTCTAGTGTAGCTGTCCAAGTTTCACAACATTACATTAGGATTTAATAAAGTAAGTGATGTCTAAAAATTTAATTGCAGACTGTATGTTAATGTTAAATGCATAAAACCATCAACCAGTAAAATGATGTAAAATTAAGATAAAAGAAGAAAAAATTTCAAACATTATATCATCGGAGAAATCAGGTGTCTTTCATGATATCTTGGATTGTAAAAAAGCAGACACATTTGATCTAGATCCTTAATTAGATATATGAATTTTGCGAGAGGAATGTAATTCATTTTTAAGACTTATTTTTATTAATTAAATTCTTATTATTACGACTGTTTATGAAAAATACTTTTTTTTATATGATTCAATTTTTTCCAACTTTGGCATATAAAGGGAGATAACTCAGATAACCTTACTTGATAAAAGAATGCATGAATTTACGTGTTCTGTTTTATAGCAAGAAAAGGAGTCCTGCGACCCGAACTCTCTATTTATATTCTGAAAGCACATTATAAGAATTATCTTCTCATATTTAATCTTTAAATTTTATTGTCTAGTTTTCTTGAATTTCATCAAGGATTTGTATTCTACTATATAAATCCTTGCTTTCACACAAAATTGTTTTTTATATATAATCTATACAAAATCTGACAGTTTTACACAACTGAAGCTTGAAAGAAAGCTCTGTTACCATACTTTTTCTTATATTTTTGAAAAAAAGCAATATATAAACTATAGTTTGACGGATTATTAAAAGATTCTATCGATTTTGATTTAAGACTCCTTGCCTTGCGGTCCAAAAACTTTCGGACACGATTTTCGTACTCGGACTCAGAAATCAACCAATCAAAATCATGGATTTGGTGTTTCGAGCACAAATTTTGCACTCTGAGTACTGAGTAAAGTTTTATGACCGAGAGCCCTTATCTACCTTAATCGATAAAAAGCTTCTGCCAAAGTTTCATACAATTTGAGAAGGTTTGACAAAGTTAATGATGTCTAAAAATACTAAAATCTCAGACTTAACATAACTGTTGACAACACTTCAGCTTCTCAGACAAAATGTTGCAGGATCGACAAAAATATTTAATGATCCTTAAGACCAATACCATATGCATTGCCAGGGAGATAAAATGATACATTTTTTGCAGTTACAGCCATGTCTAGATCATATTCCAGTTGTCATTTGCTGAAAGTTTAAAAGTTGTTCTAGGAAG